TTGTAGCATGCCATATAATATTAACTGGAAATCGATACTGGGAGAACATTCAGAAATTGAAACTAGTTGTCGGGGATGTTCCGGAACAGCGTACATCCAGTATGTTAATAGCAAATCAATTCAACCCTTCGGAAACGAATCTCCGCAATTTGAGGGAAAATGGCTGGCAAAATAAATCAATGGAGGATAATGTTTTCATACATATTCATGCGGCAATTACATGAGAATTGGCCGAGGAGGAAAGCAGGCGTCACATTTCTTGCAATGGGGGCACATGTGTATCCGCTAAACAAAACGATCCAGAATAAACGTCGGTTCTGATAATGGCCATTTCCCAAATTAAATTACTGAGTTAATTTAGTAGTTATGATATTCCTATCTTTCGGGGGTCTCAGTCAAAGTGTGAAAAAAAAAATGTTTATATCGTTTATTTCGTATTACGTTTCGGCGAGACAACAGCGCCATCATCAGATTTAAAATTTACACAAACTCATGATTGGTAAAAATCAACAAACCTTAAATTTGTCTGCGAGAGACAAATTTAAGGTTTCAAGAAGGCAAAGACCTAAAAGAACGTTGATTTTTACCAATCATGAGTTTGTGTAAATTTTAAATCTGATGATGGCGCTGTTGTCTCGCCGAAACGTAATATGAAATAAACGATATAAACATTTTTATTTCACACTTTGACTGGGACCCACGAAAGATAGGAATATCATAACAAGTACACGCAGTCAGGAAAATAAATCAGAATTAATGTAGTAGCCCAACTATGTGATTCAAGCGAATTCTTCTTGGAACTGTTACGAACAGAAATTTATGAAAATTTTAAAATCTGCCAAACCAGCAGGTAGGTAATTTTGATTGCTCGTACAATCGGCCTTTAAGCTCATGCCCATACTAGACAATCTGCTTCAACTGATACCAAATTAGCGTGAACCAAACGATCATTTCCATTGGCTCTTTCCACAACCTGTTTATCTTCGTTATTCCAACAGATAAGCGCAAAATAACCTATTTACTTAGGTAATTGGAATATGTCCCAGATAAGGATATGGGCGATGTAATTAATGTATATTTGCGATAATTAGAAAACAGGGGGTTTCTTCTAATAATGCCCGTTTAATTAAATAGTGAGAGGATGTTTGCTCGCAGACCACATACCGATGAATCGCAGGTACTTATACGCTTTAATAGCGAAAATGATTGGTTTCTGCATACGTTTTATCCTCGAGCATATTGTCATGTTTTGATGAACCGAACATTTACAGTTCACAGTCGAATCTTTTCCTAATCAAATGAACGTTATTCGGGGCAAAAAGTTCGATTCAAAGAAGTCCCAGATAAGGATCTTAGTGCTGTCATATATTTTGAGGCGACATTCCTTACCAGGTAACGTAAACCCGCTTTTTGTTCATATGCTACTCAACGGCCATCGTGAAAAAGACTCCGGACCTACCTGCAGTTCTTTGCTTCTTCGAGATCCTTATCTTGGGTTTATCGCACCTCTTTAACCCGATTCCGCCGCGATATAGCAAACAATCGTTTTGTTTTCGCATGTTTTGCTGTTTTGTGCCGAGGGGACATGAAACTTTCAGGAGCATTAGAGCATATTCACTAAAGAAAGAATGGATGTGGACCATAGAACAAGGCTTATATAGAAACGACTCTTACTCTTGTAGAAAGTGTGTCGCTAAAGTGGCGCGCCCT